CGCTCTTGTTACCCAGGCTGGAGTGCAATGGCGCGATCTCGGCTCACCGCAACCTCCGCCTCCTGGATTCAGGCAATTCTCCTGCCTCAGCCTCCTGAGTAGCTGGGATTACAGGTACGCGCCACCATGCCCAGCTAATTTTTTGTATTTTTAGTAGAGACGGGGTTTCACCGTGTTGACCAGGATGGTCTCGATCTCTTGACCTCGTGATCCACCCGCCTCGGCCTCCCACAGTGGTGGGATTACAGGCGTGAGCCACCGCGCCCGGCCCTCTGTGAAATTTTATAACAAGTGTGCCTGGCATTGGAAATCAGGAAATGAAGATTTGAAGGTATGATCATAGATGTAGAATATTTTAACCTTGAGTATTCAACAGCAGCAGAGATTGTCATTATATTAACTGGTTGCCTTCGACAGGCCCCTTCTCCCCATGCCTCAGTGTCCTCATCTGTAAACACGGCGAAGTGGCCTGGCCAGCCCTGGGGAAGGCGAGGGCTGGTGCTCCTCGGTCCTGTAGACTGAGACCTGGCATGGCCTCCCTGCCCTCTCCCCACCAGGCCCCCCAAAGCCCAGGCTCTCTACCTCAGCTCCTCCAGCTTGCGCTGGGCCGTCCCGGGCCCCCGGCTCCCTCTGGGCGCATAGGCCGCCAGGCAGCGGGCCACCTGCCGCTGTACATGCTGTGTGCGGGCCCGCCGCAGCTCAGCCCGCTGCCGCTCCTCCTGCCGCTGCCGCTCCCAGGCCTGCAGCAGGCTCCTTGGGTGAGAGAGGAAAGGAAAGGGGATGAGAAATTTATGGGAAGCAGAAGCCTCACGGAGGGCCAGGGGCTGAATAGGGCAATATGGGAGCCTGTGGAAAGGGACTGCAGGGTCCAGAGCCAGTGTTCTGGGAATAGGATTTGTCATGGAAGTCCATGACCGAGGCTGCCACAGAGGCTCAGCCTTCAGGCCCAGGTCAAGGCCTTTCCCTACTCTTTCTAGAACTCTTCTGCTTCCAGGCCAGGCATAGTGGCTCATGCCTGTAATCCCAGCACTTTGGGAGGCGGAAGCACGCGGATCACCTGAGGTCAGGAGTTTCAGACCAGCGGGTCAACATGGTGAAACCTAGTTTCTACTAAAAATGCAAAAATTAGCAGGCGTGGTGGCACAGGCCTATAATCTCAGCTACTTGGGAGGCTGAGGCAGGAGAATTGTTTGAACCTAGGAAGCAGAGGCTGTGGTGAGCTGAGACCATGCCATTGCCCTCCAGCCTGAACGACAAGAGCAAAACTCTATCTCAAAAAAAAAAAAAAAAATGAAGGGTGCTTTGGAAGAATTAATATTATTAAAATGTCCATATTATCCAAAGCAATTTACAGATTCAGTGCAATCCTATTAAAATTCCAATGACATTTTTCTCAGAAATAGAAAAAACAATTTTAATATAGAACCACAAAAGGCCTCAAACAGCCAAAGCAATCTTGAACCAAAAAAAAAGGCCAGGCATAGTGGCTCACACCTGTAATCCCAGCACTTTGGGAGGCGGAGGCAGGCAGATTGCTTAAGCCCAGAAGTTTGAGGCCACCTTGAACAACATGATGAAACTCCTTCTGAACTAAACATTCAAAAAATTAGCCAGGTGTGGTGGCCCGCATCTGTAGTCCTAGCTACTCAGGAGGGTAAGGTGGGAGAATCACCTGAGCCCAGGAGGTCAAGGCTGCTGTGAGCCATGATTGAGCCACTGCACTCCAGCCTGGGCGACAGATTGAGACTCTGCCACAGAAAAAAAAAAGAAAAAGAGACTTAGTGACACTGGTCTGGGCTTTGGCTTTTTGGATATGACCCAGAAAGCACAGGCAACAAAAGCAAAAATAGACAAATGAGGTTGCATCAAACCAAAAACCTTCTGCACAGCAACGGCAACAGTCAACAGAGATGACATACAGAACAGGAGAAAATATTTGTAAGCCATACATCAGAAAAGGAGTTAATATTCCAAAACATGTGAACTCAAATAGCTCAGTAACAAGAAAGCAAATAACTCAATTAAAAAATGGGCAAAGGCTGGGCATGGTGGCTCATGCCTGTAATCCCAACACTTTGAGAGGCTGAGGCAGGTGGATCATCTGACGTCTGGAGTTCAAGACTAGCCTGGTCAACATGGTGAAACCCCGTCTCTACTAAAAAATACAAAAAAAGTAGCTGGACGCGGTGGTGTATGTCTGTAATCTCAGCTACTCGGGAGGCTGAGGCATGAGAATTGCTTGAACCTGAGAGGCGGAGGTTGCAGTAAACCAAGATTATGCCACTGCACTCCAGCCTGGGTGATGAAGTAAGGCTCCATCTCAAAAAAATAAAAAAATAAAATAAGTAGGCAAAGAGGCAGGGCATGGTGGCTCACACCTGTAATCTCAGCACCTTGGGAGGCAGAAGCAGCAGGATTGCTTGAAGCCAGGGGTTGGAGACCAGCCTGGGCAACATAGCAAGACCAGATCTCTATAAATAAAGGTTAAAAAAATAAATCAGCTGGAAGTGGTGGTGTGCACCTGTAATTCCAGCTACTCAGGAGGCTGAGGCAGGAGGGTTGCTTGTACCAAGGAATTCAAGGCTAGAGTGAGCCATGATCATGCCACTGCACACCAGCCTGGGAGACAGAATAAGATCCTGACTCTAGACAAAAAAAAAAAAAGATTCCAAATAGACATTTCTCAAAAAAGACAAGTCTTTTTCATCACTAATCACCAATCGTGTGGGAAAATCAAAGTTCCTCAAAAAATTACAAAAAGAACTACCATGCGATCCAGCAACCCTCTTCTGGGTACATATTCGAAGAAAGTGAAATCAGCATGTTGAAGAGGTAGCTGTACTCCTATGTTCATTCCAGAAATATTCACAGTGGCAAAGATATGAAATCAACCTAAGTTTCCATCAACGGATGAATGGATAAAGAAAAGGTGGTGTGGCCGGGCGCGGTGGCTCAAGCCTGTAATCCCAGCACTTTGAGAGGCCGAGGCGGGTGGATCACGAGGTCAAGAGATCGAGACCATCCTGGTCAACACAGTGAAACCCCGTCTCTACTAAAAATACAAAAAATCAGCTGGGCATGGTGGCACGTGCCTGTAATCCCAGCTACTCAGGAGGCTGAGGCAGGAGAATTGCCTGAACCCAGGAGGCAGAGGTTGCGGTGAGCTGAGATCACGCCATTGCACTCCA